TTTCTCATAGAATATATATCCAACGGAGTTTACTATCTCATAATATATAATATTTTAGAATTGTCAAGATATTTCTAACGGAGCCAATAGATGCTTATGTAACACACAACCAAATATGTTCTTAATCAGCAGATGAAAATTCTGAATTTTGGTACTAAATGTTGCACAGTAAAATAATGTTCATCTGGACAAATAAAATAAATATATATATAATTGAGATGACTAATTGATATAAATAATAAAAAATTTTCATTACTTCCGAAAATAAAAAGAAACATATATGGTTACATTCCCACTACTATACCTATCCTAGACGCTAGGTTCTATTCATTTCATTGCATCTGAGACGACTACAACCATTCGATAAGAATTTATATGAATACATTATATGGTTACATTCCCATTACTATACCTATCCTATACACTAGGTTCTATTCATTTCACTGCATCTGAAATGACTACAACCACTCGATAAGAATTTAAAACAAAATACAGTTTTTTACTAAATAAAGAAATGGGAACTTAAAGTAAATTCAAAATTTTAATCCGTATCCGTTAATCCGATTTCCTAGATACGCCAATTCGAGTTCCAATTTTATACAATCAGTGAAATTTGGGAACGTCTTCCACAAAGTCATATGCAGCTTAATTCTTGAGATATAGATTCTTAAAATTGCTGCCATTTTACTATAACTACACTAACATCAACTACATACGCTATCTATTACCAACTGATATAATCTTCATATTGATTACACTAACAACGAATAACAATAAATAGAAGCGGCAGATGATAAGTGCGATATCTTAAAACTAATCTTTATTGACATAAAGCGTAGGAAAAAATGATGGCACCACTGTCATTACTAATTTCTCTTGCCAAATATGTGTGCCCGAGAAATCGGAACCATACCGAAATGCTCAAGAAAACGTTTTACCAAAATGTTCTTTATGCTTCACATAGACTTTATTCTAGTAGTTAATGTTATATTAACTATTGTTAATATAAAATTGTAATATTAGCAATGTAAAATACTATTAAAAATGTTATATTTTTTTCTTATAACTTTCTTTTAATTTGTCATTGTCTGCATTATATGTCATTATATTCACTTGTACTCCTTGGGATTAATTATAATAGTTCTTATAATACAGCTTTATTTGTCTAAAAATTTTTGATAAAAACATCTAACTTATTTGTTATATATTAAGATTTTAAGGATTATCGGACAGAGAATGTATAGGTGAAATTTTCCGTGATACACTATATAACTTGATATATAATAAAATTCTATCACTCTATCTAAATGGGTGTAATTTTTTATTTGCTTGTTGGACCAAAAAATCAGCTTCCGTTTATATATTAATTTGTTAAGAAATATTCTGCTAATAATTAAATTGATTTTATATAATTAACTTCTTTTTATTATTTTTTACACTCTATTTTTTATATAATAATTTTAAATTAGTATACAAATCCAGATTTAATTAGCTTTCCGCAGCATCATCTAATTACTCTTCTGATCCGTTTTCAAATTAACAAATTACAAAATTAAAAGTGGAATAAAATGACTTAAAAAAGGAGCAGAAAAACAATAGCAAATTAATATAGAAGGATCGCCGCCTCACCACCAAGAATTAAAAATGCAATCGTCATCGTCTCCACGTCTCAGTTGCTCAAGTGGCTTCATTTTGCCTGTAAACGTCGTCGTCATTGTTAACTTTAGAAAATTGCATTCAATCGAGCGGATTTTTATTGTCGAAATTAACTCATGAGGAAAATTCTATTATTGCAACGTATCCTGTACGCTTACATTGGTATTGGCGGCAACAGCATGAAAGTCCTTTCAGCTGCAATTCACTCGAATTAAATGCGATTTCGTTTTTTATTCTCATTTTCTTCTCGTTTTTTATTTACTTTATAAATGAAAACCATGTAAGGTGCACCTTCTGCTTTGTTTTTGGTTTTCATTATTTTGGTTATAAAACAAAAAGCCAAAAATAAAAGGAGTATTAAGTATTTCATTGCAAGTGCAAGGCGGGAGTCACATGCTCTTCCACATATGAATACATCCATGCTGGTTCTGCCATTGATGCCATTTGCAACATGTTGAAGTAACGTTGCATTAACTGCATTTGACTGGAAACTGATTGACAGTTCCTGCAAATGAAGCAACTTCAAATTGATTCACGTTTATATGCAGCAAATGGCAGCTTATGAAAGCAGCTCTTGAAGTTTATTTCGCTTATATTGAACCATAAAATGAAAGTATTATACTTTCCTAATTAGGTAATAGAAGATGATGGATGCAGAAGTATAGAGTAAAAAACTAATAACTTCATTGAATATCATTAGATTACTTTAGAATTTAATGACATGAATGAATTAAGATTCGATTTCGTTTTTCGATATGATATGACTAAGCAAAATCATGGTATATATAATACTATGGAATATTTTAAGTAATTAGCGTTATATATTTCAGATATAAGTTCAACAACACATAATATATAAAGTGATGCTGTTGGTCAGGCCAAGAATTTACTTGGTTATTAATTAAAATAATATGTTATACATACAGTCCAACTTCCATAACTCGAACTTCTATATCTCAAGTTTTCTAGGTATAACTCAAACTAAATAGAGTGCAACAGGATTTAGAGAGCAAATCACATACAATTACAAAAAAATTCTTTAACTTAAAGTCTTCGTGAGTCAACCCTTATGGAAGTTTGACTGTATATGTTTAAAAAATATTATAATATTATTGTTTTAATAACATTAATTAATTTTAATTAAAATACTTATTAGATTCCATATAAACTTATTTAAAATATATTTACATATTAACATTTAATACATATATCGTTCATAAAGATGCTTTGCATATCAAAGAGACCCAAAAGAAAAGTTCTAACTGACTTAATGATCATTAGTGCTTATTAAAGCCAACGCAAAGACATATTTTATTAGCAACTATGTTGTCCTTCATTCAGGCCACTGTCTATATATCCATTAATATGCCTTTGACATTTACTGATCAAAACTTAATTAAATATAGGTTAGTCAGGCTTTCACACAACTTTTTTATCATCCGATTCTGGTGCATTTGTCCGCATGTAAAATATTCTATTTTAAATATCCATTGTAATATACACATAAATCAAAGTAAATCCTTTTTAATTTTATTTTTTTTTTGTAACTTTTAAACCACAGAATTTGTAAAAATCAGAGATTCAATGAAATTCAGCTGAAAATAAATGGTTTACCAGAATAAATTGAGATTTATTGAGTTACTAAAATGTTGCATATGACAGGATTTATAAAAGTGACAAAATGTATACACAGGATAAATTGACAGTTATTGTTGTAAATTTAAAATTATATTAGTAGATTGATTACCATATGTTTTTTTCCTAGTCTCTTATTATTGTAGAAACACTTTGTGTATTTATCGAAATAATTTTGGGCTTTTGGAAAAATTACCTGAGGTTGCCACCATGCTATAATCATTTAATTATTTGCTACATAAACCAAAATATCTTGCAATTGTATGGTTTGCAATTTTATGTATGTTATATATGTGCTACAGTATTCCACATATATTTATATATGTTCCATTGCATATATTTCGAGAATAGAAGAGCTTTTTATGTTTCAATGAAATTCATGAAAATAAAATAAAAAAAGCACGAAGAAAATGTCCATTGGATATTTCCAAAACTTCATCAAAAATTGTTAGTTAAAAATCACCAGTTTAAATATCTTGACAGTAAGTAAATAATAAGAATTCTTTAAGTATCTCAAATCCAGTGACTAGTAAACTTATAAACTAGTAAAATGTTGTCACTAAAGCAATACTGTGATTTAAGTTAAACATTACTATCGCTATTTTAGAATGCATTAGAAAAATTTTACCATTATTTTTCAGAATACTGAGCCACTGCATTACCAGAGAACTGTCTGCGAACAATTTCTATATATGCCTCCTCTTCTATTTCGATTCAAATGACATTTCGATAATAGAAAGCCTCACAATTTTAGCATTTATATGAAAGTTCAACATTTCTCTCTCTATTGGTTTAATTAAGAATGAATCAACTTAAACTCCCTAGCATGCTCTTAACACCCTTGTCACTTGCAGAGCCAATGGCGACTCAATCTTAAAATTGTAAAATTAGTGCTTATTGAGTACATATGTATGAAAAGCATATTAGCTTAGCTTATTAGCTTTTACTTGCATTCAAAAAATATGAAGTGGGTGTGTCACAATAATTCCCAAAGGATGCAGTATCAAGTTTCCAACCCGTTTTTGAATCTAATCTAATCTAAAACTAAAACAAATATACACAATGTCAGAATTGATAGAAACTTAATATTATCAACAAAAAATAAAACTGTATGAAGATACAGCTTGTGGGTAAGGAGATATAGAAGTGATAACAATATAATTAATGACAATCCAACATTTTAGACAAAGTATTAAGGCGCATCGGGCCCTGTAAGTCGAAACCGAAACATTATAATAGGTTTCCTGATATACAGTCTACTAAACTATCTTAAATATACAAATAAAAAACCCAACAACTTCTCTACATAACTGATGCACCCACTAAGAACGTACTTAACTCTCCAACATCACTAAATGCATTAAGATAGCATCTATGTATATTAGATCATTTCTTTTTCTTGATGTTAAGATCATCTAATATTCCTAAACATCGTACATGTATTGCAAATAGAATACGAAAGCTATTTTAAATGTAAAAAAATTTTATAGTTGTATTTATTTTTTTTGGATGATGTTTTGCCCATGGAGATACACCCGCAGTAACATGAAATTTTAATCTTCAAAACATCACAGTTTTTAAAAGTGATATTTTTACTTGAAAATAATGCTATAAGTTTCTAATCATGTCTTTCCGAGAAAAATCAATTTTTTTTTAAAGTTTGTTTAATATTAGAAAATTTCTGTATTAAAATCGAAATATTTAAAATATTTTTCGTACGCCATGCCGTATTGCAATGGATTTTTATCGAAAGTTCGAAACAAAATTACTTATTATATGGAACGTTTAGCAAACCGTCATCGGCACAATCATTCAATGATTGCCCATTACAGAAGAAGGAGCTACTTGCTATATAATTGGAATAATATTGCAGATTCATTCCATAACGATGTATTCAAACGCTTTTCGACAATATTGGAAAGGAGAGGAAACATTAAAAAGTTAGTATTTATTACCATTTGGAACAAAACATCGTTGAATTCAGTAAGAAGCCGAGTTGCGAAGTCTTATAGAACTATTGACCTTGCCAATGGCATTTCACGGCTACAAAGCAATAGTGAATTAATAGTTTATTTTATGCCTCAATATTTTTCTAATAGCAGTGAAATTTGGGTTGAAGAAATTTCGATGCACTCAACGCCAACAATTCAGTTAAATGAAATAATTGCCGGGCTTGCTAATTTACAACAGATCATCAACATGACTAAAAAACACGGCTTTGTGGAGGATGCCACAGAAGTAGATAGTCGATACTATAAAATAACCTTTAGGAGGCGAGGTAAAGTCGTAGTCGTACTCATCTCAGATTATTTGATTTTGAAATATATTTATTTAGACTTTTAAGGGTGTATTTGAAAGCAATCAACAAAAGTTACATATTGACATCTACCAAATTTATTAAGTCAGTCATTCTTGGATTCTTAAAAGTTTCATTCGATTACATTAAAATCAAAAAGAGTAAGAAATAAAAATTACTCTTTTTAACATGGATGTTACTACTTTCAGACCCAATGAAATAGACGTACTAATTTTTCTGCACATACACGTATTCATTATGGCTTTCCTGAGCCCAACTGTTGAAAAAATATAACTAATTAGATTGCTATACATATATATTAGTTAAAAAGATTTATTTTCAAGTAGCATCACATATTTTTTTATATTGTCTTTATTTTTAAAACAATTTTTTTTAAATTCTTTCTTAAAGTTATTAAACCATTTACTTAAATATATTTAAAGTTTTTCAAAAATAAATAAAAGCTATGGTTTTACTTCAAAGACGTCTAAGTATTTTGAATTCAAAATGTATTAATAAATTTACTTTATCCTAATATTAGAATCATTGCATAGAGTTCAGAGTTCTTTGATCCTTAAACTCACAGCATTAATTGCAATAACAACCATTTTGCAACCGACTAATGACTTCTCTCCAGTACGTTTTATAATTTCAGTATAAAAATACAATTATTGGGAACATGCTGATTCTCAATAACCTCAGTTTTATTAAGTGTGGTTAACACTTAAGTCTCAATTAAACTAACTAAAGGAATAGATGTCTTTTAAGTGACAGATCAATGATATATGAGGATTAATCATCGCAAATCACATACATAACATAATCTGCCTTTAATCACTTATATACATAGCAATTGATTGGTCTAGATCACTTTTCGTTGTACATAAAAGTTTTCAAATCTCAGAATGGCTACAGGCTCCTCGGGGAGGTATGCAGATCTGAGGTCAATTATTGCTTAGTCTGATGAAGTGATAAACAATAATCCAATCAAGGCGCAAAGAGGGGTTTTGAAGAAACCTCGCAGTTAATAGAGTGTAAAAGTGCTCAGGTGCACTGACTCAACTAGCCTCAACATAATAAATAAAAGTTACCATACTAACAGAATTCTGCCAAAGAGGTTAGCAGGCTGCGAAAAGGAATTTCCTTGAAAAACTACTTTCAAATTAGAACCCATAAAAGTGCGAAAAAAAATATTAATCATCAGCTCTGTCACCGACTCATCACAATAATACATTGCTTTCCCAATCCAAAATAGGGTTATCTCGATTCGAAACTTTTACAGCCAAATATTGAATGAAGCTATTTAATGGTATCAGAACTTAGTAACTTATTGTCTTTTCCATTATAGTCTTAATTTAATATAGATATATGTGTAAGAATGTTAAAACCATACAGACGTCAGAGCATTCTAAAGCACATACTTATGTGCATATTATATATATATATATTTCACATTTTAATTTAAATAAAAAATCTAAAAAATAAAATATGAAAGCAAAATATGAAAGCCACCAGGAAGCGAATAGATAAATTGGTAAGTTTAATTAAAAGTACCATTTGATCAAAAAAGGACGAGAGGTTAAAAAAACGCAGAAATTTAATTTTTAATAATTTTCTTTATTATCGCCTTCAAAGTATTCTCCTCCTGCGGCAATACATACATGCCAACGCTTGATCCAATTTTCCATACAAGTTTTATAGACGGCCGAAGCTATGGCCTTTAGTTCAAGCAGCGAATTCTCTTTTATAACCTCTATGGTCTCAAAACGCATCTATGGTCCTCGCAAAGGCAATTTGAGTCGGGGTAAGAGGAAAAGGCCACACGGGGCCATATCTGGAGAGTACGGTACTTAATGCTTGGTTGATGATATTGGTGGAGTTTTTGGCCAAAAACTGCGACACAACCAACGCTGTGTAAGCCGGTGCGTTATCGTGGTGTAAAATCCATGAGTTTTTCTTCCATAAATCTGGCCTCTTTTTGCGAATAGCCGACGCATAACGGGCAAATAATACTCCTTATTGACCGTTTGACCGTCTGGAAGGAATTCATAATGCACCACATCACGAATATCGAAGAAAACAGTCAGCATAATCTTGATTTTGGACCGACTTTGGCGTTCTTTTTCGGTTTCGGCTCACCTTCGAAGCACCATTGTTGTTGTTTATTGTGGTTTGGTGGGCATGTCAAATTCATAGATGGATTGACCCATGTCTCATCACCAGTTATGATGTGTTCGATGAATGTTGGGTCACTATCTGCGTTGGAAATCATCAATCATCTCTTTGGCCACATCACTACGACACGTTTTTCGAATGAAATTCAGCTAAAAATCGCCACACGAAAATTTTTCGACTTCTTTGCATAGACGCCAAACAAAAACTAATCGCACGATATGCGTTAAACTTTGACAGAATGTGTATAATAGTGTTGCCAGGGTGAAAATAAAAAAAAGATTAAATTAAATTAATTAATTAATTAAAAAAAAGAACAAATAAGTTCTTTTTTGATCACAAGGTATGTCAGTAGTAAACATGAATGGTCACCATAAAATAGCTAACCTTATCAGAAATATCAATAGATTAAAGATTATTTATAAAAAATATTCGTAAATATTATTTTTGTAGATTTCTTCATAATTAATCAATTTTATAAAAAATAAAAGATTATTATTCCTTCATAAACACATCACCTTTTAATTCTCAGTATAAATGGCTCTTACCACTCAAATTAAACTTTGCTTAAAACTGAACTTTTCAGTCCCCAATCAATGTTATTATGTCAAAAGTTTTGTGAAAGCATGAAGCACCTGAAGTATTTAAAGTTCCAAAATAAAGGCAAATGTGACCATTGGACAGATAAATTAAAGGAAATGGAATTACCAATAAAAGTTAAAATACAAACAAACCTATTTACATTATTAGCTAAATCATACCTATGAGTATGAAGTAAAGCGAGGATGTGTGACGGGACGGAGTAAAAGCTAAAATACAAAAGTACTTAGAATTGCATATGAATAAATGTGACCAATACCACAGAAAACGCCAGCTAAGACCACATGTACCACATTGTTTTCGGAGTTTTCATTTATTTCAGATTAATTCCACACTTCACATTACTGCAGAACTCAACGCAACTTAGTTAATGCAATATAGTGAAGCTGGACACTGAACATCGAACACTACTCTGCCATAACAAAATTGTAAAACTGTGCTCTACAACATTTGAATCCTTTATGAGGCATGGCAAGTCCAGTATGTTAGCACAGCCACACTTCAAAGTGGCTGCCGGTATTCAGCAGACCAAAAACCATTGATTGTCATCGAATGATAGAATAAAAAAACGTGAGTTTACATTGAGTATGAGTACATCTGAAATCTGCATCTGAATGTGGAATATACTCTGCTTAATTTGTATGTAAGCATAAATGCACACATGTGTACACATGTATTATCTGGTCATACTTGTACTTGACGTGTACATTTGTTACGCTACACCAAATTCAGGCTTTTGCCACAGTTGGTAAATCCCTAATGCCACTTCGTAATACATCCCACACAACTCAACTTCTGGAAACGGAACGTTTACAGCTCGAATTGAAAGTACAAAATTCAGACTTTGTATTTGGTATGTGAGAAGCATCCCCTTAAGTGTTGTCTACTTCATTTTGCAAAGTGTTAGAATATTGCTTTTAACATATTGACAACACTGACAGTCTTTACTTTTGGTACTTTAAGCTAAAATTATACACCTATAGTATCTTAAGTAAGTAGTACAAGAGCGGTTCTAATAGATTTTGTTTTAATGACGAAATTTAGGGAAATTATATTTCTTTCTTTAAAATCTTAATTTGGAAGAAAGAGCTAGATAAGGATTATTCGATTGCTAACATGCGCAAATAATTTGTCATTACTCTTTCTCCAATATAGCATAGATCCTATGTTTTAATAAATTAAATTCATTATACACAAAGAGATTAAATAAGGTGGAATGTAAAATACGATAAGTGGAATGAGAAAAGGTCTATAGATTTTTTTTTTTGTAGTTTCAATCTACAAGCACTACAAAATAGATGAGATCTCATTATTATAACGAACTTTGTCTTTACTAGCTATATTCTTCTCTCTTTCTATATTCTTTATTCTTCTCTATATTTTTTCATCAAGTAAAATATTTGAAATTCCAGTATTGATTTTGATAAATATAAAACCTTAAGTTTATTCTTCTCTCTTTCTAAATTCTTTCTTCTCTATATCTTTCATCATGTAATACACTTCATATTCCAGTAATAATATTGGTAAATATTTAACCTTTTAACCTTTTGTAGTTTCCTTTGGAGAACTGGAATGGAATTTCTGCTATTGGTTTTTTACAGCCTGCTGGCAAACCATTTTGTAGTTCACGCCTCAGGTGTGGTATAGTGGGTTAAGATATCTCAAGTTTTCCACCCATTATAGAAAAATTATAGAAAAATTATAGAAATTATATTATAGAAATTACATTATAGAAAAATATTTTGAGTTATCCCTAATTAGTCAAAACTGTTTCTTCTATTATAAAATTAAAAATTTTTCATCGAGTGATTGATGATTCATTACCATCAAAAAAATAAGAATCGGTACTGGTACCGAATATTAATTTAAAAACATACTCTCCTTGATATTACTCGCATATTATAATATGTGCTTTATCAGCGTTACGTGTACCCTATATTGACTTTTATCGTGGTTATGGCTCTGAGAATATGGAGGAAACTGCATATCCCATCTTTAGCTAGTAACTAAAATGTTCAGGGCCCCTTTTCTAATCGACTTGACCGAGCCATCACCCTGCAAAATTAGAAACTTAGTCAAATTTATAAAACTGTCAGGTTGTTTCATCTTTACCTGATGGTCGAGTCGTTTTTTGGCGTTAGTTGTACACTGACCTCTGGTCTATATTTGAACAAATGCAAAACCTGTGATACCATAACAGAACATTATTTAAGTTTAAGTGAACTTTCTTGTGTACAAGGACGCCTAACATAATGTAAGATCTACATAAAGAAATTTAGTATGAATGTTAGACAACTATATATACAACTATAATATAGTCTTAAAATCATTAAGTCTGCTTGCAAAGTTATGAATAGTTCAAATTAATAAATAATTGAACTGAGTGACCATTATATTACGATAGTGACATAGAACAGGGACATATGTAGATCATCCATCTGTACTAGGAATAGCTAAACTAACATATAGTAAAAAAATGTTTCGGGGTAGTGAAAATAATAATGAAATTATACATTTTCATTCAGATTC